CAGATCTGCCATAAGATTTTTGGACCATATGGGGCTTACACTCCTCCCTGTTCTACCTTCGTTGAGCTAGAGCTTTACAGTAATCCCACATCGAGATGAAACAGAGGAGGCAGAAACTCCTTGGAATGGAGTATATACTCCTTGGAATCGGTGGCAATCCAGTGATGCTATGACCTGTGTTTCAGGAGATCGCATCAATGTTCAGTTTAGTTTCAATGCTTAATATATTCAGAGTATTCATTATAATTTTGTGCCAATATACTGTAAAAAAGAGGCTCCGTCGCTCCTAATGGCGAGAATTATCCAGGAGCATACTTGCCACAAGATGAAATCATTAATAGGTACATTAATCTCATCAAAATGGTTCTTTTTAGACTTTTGATTCAAAGGGTTTTTAAATCAATCATCAGTCTGTGCCTTCAAAATAGAATGAGGCACCTAGACAGAGAGGGTTATGAGCTCAATCTGAAATCATGTAGAAAAAAGTCATGTTTACCTTTTTGAGAAATGACTTGAATATCAGACGGTCAGTAAGTTTAGTCTACTAACGTTGTTGAAATCATCGCCGCAGTCATTTCCAGACATTTTTCTAAGGAACAGCTGCAACGTTTGCCCACTTTATGAAAGTTAATACAAGCCTGTGTCTTTTGGAGCAAAAGGAGTCATGGAGAAGCTTAAGAACGCTGTTTTGATTGCTACTCAGTAGAATTATGTATTAATAAATGACTTATTAACAAATTCATATTTTTTTAGTTGCTGGTGGATTGCTGTATGGGCATCAGGGTTAGTCAGGAAGAAAAGTGTGCATAGCGCTGCCAGACATTGCTGTGGTATCTGACTCTTTGTACTGTATGCTGAGATTAAGAAAACCAATTTTCTATAAACCTCAAAGTGCACTGTGTGACCTCCCCAGCAAACTAACATCACTATACAGCATGCGGTTGGGATTTTAGCTGTAGGTCTATTTATCTCCCCTTCAGGGTTCAGGGATCAGGGCCAAGACTGAAGCACACCAGACAATGGCAAAATGAATCCTATAAAAATGAATGTTGTGATGTTGGTCTCTTTTAGTAAAATGGGTAGCTGGCAGTACAGAGTTAGGATTTAACCTCTGTAAACAGTCTTTAGGCGGGACTTTGGGTGCCAGACGATTTCTGGTTTTCATTTGTAGTCTGGAAACAAAACATGGAAGGCACTTGCTGAAATGCAGACTAAAAATCTCAGGCTACAATCTAATGATAGACTTTTGTTATTTTATTTTAACTTATCTGCATTTGCAAACAATGACCTTTGTATGGAACAGGTCTAGGGTTGCTGCATCTGCCAGAAACCCAAAATATTCGCTCTTGTCAACAGAAGCTAAGCCAGACGATGGTCGCTGCACTGTTTGAGCTCAGTCTTGTTTAGCCGTTTACACAGGGATGCTTTAGTAAAACCCCTAAACACCATAATTGAGTCCAAGAACAAAGCGAATGTTGTCTTGACCCTTTTATTTATTTATTTATAATAATGTTGATTAAATGCACAAACATTCAGGTCACCAAATAGATCTGTAAAGTTCATTTTTACCCTTGAAATCAAATTTTATAATAGTGGCGTTCAATTCAAATATATTTAACTAGCCCAGCATCAGATTCTCTCTTACTCAGTAGGCGAGACACACTTTACCATCAAGCTGTCTCAGCACAGCGAGGTTAAACGCATATTTGCAGCTAATTAGAAAAATTTCCTAAATACCACAATAAAAAAAAGCACTTGATGAAATATAAAGGAATGATTTGCATTCTGACAGCCAGCAAAACAAAACAGTCAAGCTAAAGAGAAGAACACAGCTCTGCACAACTGCAACATGATTTCTGTAGCTTGACGGTTAATCATCCAAATGCAACACACTAAATCACTCTAGCAACGAAGGGAAAAGGTGCAAGGACTTGAATTTGGTGCTTTATATGTCATTCACTTATGACGTGTAAGTTATTTATAGTCTCTGTCTGGGAAATATTCACAGGGAACTGTCTGACCTAAGTGCGCCGTAGCTGACCACCTGCCTCGGGTATGAGAGCTGAAATCAGGCAGGCATTGCCAATTTTATTGAGCCACACAAAGAGCAATTAATCGCGTGTCGTATCGTGGGGCAAAATAAAAATCACAGCAATTCTCAAAAACAGATACTATCGTTAAGAAAACACACCCGGAGATTTCAGTCTAAGAGAGTGAGAGCTACATTAAACTCCCATACAAACAGCTGGATTTCTATCCAATTCATTTTGTGTGTGTGTGTGTTTTACAAAAACAATTAATTCTGAAAGCTGTGTAAACAACCTGTGGCACACCCACTCAGATCTGTTTTGTAACGCTCATTTTGCTGCCAATTATTTCTTACTCACTTTGTGGTTGTAAAGTGCTCGTTGTGTGGATGCTGCACATTTTGAAAAAAAACAAAACGCTTTTCATCTCTGACCTTCAGATCTGTGCCAAAGTTAATTAAATTCTAAAGGCCTTCATCAAAATGCAAATGCTCACTTTAAGCGGGCCCTGAATGAACCGAATGAACGTCGCATTTTCAGTATTTGTTACAATTAAAACAAAGATTTAATTTCAATCCTGTGAAACTAAATAAACAGGGATCATAGGGAGGCACAAAGTGCAGTTGCCATTGATTCAGCATGACGCGTTCATGGGATAATCTGGTTTCCGCTTTGGCTGGTGTGCAGATGGCAGTGGGAGGGGAAAAATGGGGACAGACAGGGCATAGGGCTGGGAAGGATATTCACCCCTACATAAGCCCTACTGTACTGTGCAGCCAGTCTGTGCATCCCAGTGTAGCTATCCGACAAAAGCAGGACATTGCTTGCGTGACTGCACTGTATGCATGCCTGTAAAGAGTTATAAAGAAATGAAGGCAGGAGGTGTAGCAGTAAGAAGTCATGCCTTCCACCTTTATTATCCAGTATCGCCCCCATCAAGATCCAGGCAGGTATCAGGGTCTGTGTGCTACAGACTCAAATGAATCTCCACGCTCAGAGCATCATAGAGTCGCCCTGATAGCTTTCAAGTTTCTGTGTGCTTTAACAGAGCGTTGTACTTGGCTGCATTTGGCCTCCTGCCTGCAGATACTGTTTCAGATTAGGTGTAGTTAACGTCTCTTGTCCTCACGTGCTTCGCTCTTGGCAGGAAACCTGCGTTGAGAGGATGCCCTGCTCTGAATCTGGGAATCTGGGGGAATGGATCATGGCTGTGTATAAATAGCAAATCACTGCACAATGCTTCACGCTTTTACTGCAGGGAAAAGATGGACAGAGAGAAATACACAAGAAAGGCACATAAACACTGTCAGATAGAGATAGAGACAGAGAGGGAGACAGACAGGGAGAGACAGAGAGAGGGAGGATTAACTTCTCATCCAGTCTTTGCTGTTGCATAGATTGTAAGTAGCTTATTGCGCAAAGCAGCCTGCATGTAACCGGTGCGTTCGCATGATTTGTTTTGGGAGGTTTTTTTGTTTGTGTGTGTGTGTGTTCAGTACATCGCTGACCTCATGCAGGCAACTAAGAGCTTTGGGCCTAAAATAATCAAACTGGAGAACCTGGCAAGCTGTGCTCTACTAAGAATGGATCTGAAGCTACAAAAGGGCAACAGCTTTACTTGCGTATAGACATTACTTTTTAATCTTTAATGCTGAAACATGTAATTGGGCGCAGTAAATATCAGAGAACAGAGATCCAGGCTGTGCTTTTTCCAGCAGCCTCGGTCAACATGAAGCCATGCAGGGGCGTGGTTCCTGTAGGCTATAAAACTCAACCAACACAATTTTAAACTTAAATCAGAGTATGATCATGATTCATTTATAATTGCAGTACGTTCACATTTTGCATTGCAGTCTAACTGCATGCCAGAGCCAACTTTCCTGTTTAATACATTTTATTCAAACGTGCTTTATTTTAATCTTCTATTTCATTTGACTCTTTTAAATCTTATCTGTGGATGCCTTTTATCATTGCCTTGCAGTGGTAACATATTTCATCAAACAAGGCCTTACACGTCTTATTACATTAAGCATGCAGAATTGCCTTTTTCTTTCTTGTTTCACAGCAATTTCCCACAGTGTGTTTTCTTTGTAAAAGAAGACTTGTGCATCTGCGCTGTGTTGTATATATAAATGTATAACCGAGGAGGCAGAGTGGACAGGCTTTGCAGTTTCATAGCTGGTATCTGCTCGTGGGTTTTCATATGAATGGTTGACAAATTGCTTTTTAAAAAGTATTCAAGGTAGATTTTTTTTTCAAGTTTGCAGTCAGTGCAGATTCTTTGTGGACAAAAGCCACACCTCCTGCTGTCACCAGACAGCAAGTGACAGCAGGAGGTGTTTTTCATCGTGTCACTCTGAGACAATAAATTACTTTGAAAATGGCAATATGAATTCTTGCTTTTCTATTTCTGCAAGTTTCTTTTTGCAGAAACATTTTTCTCAAATTGCTTCACTCTCTTTAAATGTCTTTGAAAATAGAAAGATGTGTATTTTTATATTATAATGCAGCATTTAATTTCTTTTTTCTTTTACAACGAGGAACTCTTCTTGTAGATTACAGTAAACACACCATAACATAACAGCTTAATGGTAGAAAAGGAACAGAGACCCTGATTTCTTACTCTGTCCATTTTCAGAGTAATAATCAATACCATAATTGACGGTGTGCAACCTGTAAAATCATTCAGTACATATAGAGGTAGGGGACGAGTGTAGTGACACTGATGTCGAAATGGGGACTGCAGATATTTTGTTTACTAATCACTGCAGCACAATATTGTTATTATGTATAATATAAAACTTCAGTGTACCGTAAAAATGTTTATCTTAATCACGATTGGCTTGGAGCGCTGAAAGCCAACATCAGTGTAGATAATTAAACAGCTCTTTTATCCACTTCAGCATTTAGTACTTGTGTCACTGAAATGTTGTGTTTATGTGTTTGTATTGTGCAGAGCTGTGTTGCCCTTACCTCGATACGACGAGGGGCAAAATTAACATCTTCAGCATCCTCATTAGCAGCTCTCCTGGAAACTGGAAGTACTTGACCTCCTGCAGGCAGAAGAGAAAAGCTGTTTTTTGTTTTTTTTTACTTTGCCAACAAATCTGAGGTCAAACACCATGTCAACATCATTATTATTACTGCAACACAAATTGTAAAATGACATCCTCTCTAAATCAGACATTGCCTTCTTTTTGTAACTTACCAAACAGACCCTTTTTAGTATACAACTGCCCTTTAGATTACACTTTCCCATGTAAAGATGACTTCAACACAAAACCGATTGGATCTGAAGAAACGCTCCGAGCCTTGCAAACCTCTTAGGTCACTTGGTATGGACCTTTTAGTTTTAACACTATATTCAGTCACTTTCAGATTACATGTTATCTGTTGCTTTTTTTTTTCAACCAAAGGCTAAAGTTGTTTTCAAGATCCAACATCAATATCAGTAACATCATTTTGCGTTCAATAACTGAACAGGCCTCAGTGTGTCTTTTGTGCATGTGTTGCCATCTTTCTGATTTTTCTGGCTAAAAAAACTTCTACACTGGCTCAAAACACAATGGCTGAAAAGCAAGGACAAGGACGGCGTTAAACATGTACTATTTTAGAGCTCTATTCATAGTACGGCTAAAAAGCACTGAACCAATCACACTGAATCATAATTTGACGTAATCCCACATTCAAAGAATTTTTCCATTATTTTCAACTAAAATTTTGAGTGACGTAGGTTGAGTTAGAATTTTCATCCCTTTATTTTCCATCCACCCATCCATCCATCCATCTTCTTCCGCTTATCCGGGGCCGGGTCACGGGGGCAGCAGCCCAAGCAGAGAAGCCCAGACCTCCCTCTCCCCAGCCACCTCCTCCATCTTTTCCGGGGGAACACCAAGGCGTTTCCAGGCCAGCCGAAGGATATAATCTCTCCAGCGTGTCCTGGGTCTGCCCCGGGGCCTCCTCCCTGTGGAACATGCCCAGAACACCTTACCCAGGAGGTGCCCAGGAGGCATCCTTATCAGATGCCCGAATCACCTCAACTGATTCCTTTTGATGTGACAGAGCAGCGGCTCTACTCTGAGCACCTCCCGAATGGCCGAACTTCTGGCCCTATCTCTAAGGGAGAGTCCAGCCACCCTTTGGAGGAAGCTCATTTCTGCCGCTTGTATTCGCAATCTCGTTCTTTCGGTCACTACCCACAGCTCGTGACCATAACTGATCTACGTCCCTACCCTCACCTATGGTTTATCCTCAGCTATCAAAAACAAACACAAGTTTTCATCAAAGCCACTTGTTGTGTAAAAATGTAAGAATACGTATAAGAGAAGTTCTCTGCGGCCTGCTGGAGCGGGGGGGCTAGGAGGAGTTGGCCGTCCGACTGCGGTCTGGAGTGTGGGGCCTCCCTGCTGCTGCGGAGTCGGGGCGGTCTGCCTCTCCCCACCGCAGGGAAAAGGGTAACACCACCTGGGTCTGGGTGCAGTTCCCCCCTCCAGGGGCAAGGGTACCTAGACCCGGTTCGTAGAGTACGCTTGGGGAGTGTGATCGTGTGTACAGCGTCTCTTTATGTCTATCTCCACGTTGGTTGAGTGTGGAGTAAGTGCATATGAGAGCATGAGGGTGGGAATGGATGTTTGTATATGTGTGTGCCTGTATGTCTGTGTCTATATGTCAGGTTGGGTATCAGACGCCACCTCTCTGGGGACATCTCAGGCCCTCCAAGGTTTGGAGGCCTATCTCCACCCACCACCACTTCCCCTGCCAGTGGCGGACTCCCTCAGGTGTCGGTGCGTTGGTGGTTCTTTGTGTCTGGGGGTGGGCGTCCGGGTACACACCGGCTCACTCCTTGGCGGCCGCTTATCAGGGCCTGGAGCCTGGGGCTCGCTCGGGCCACTTCGGAGGTGGGGTGCCCCCGGCCTCTCGGCCTGGGGCTCGGTCACTCAGGCACAGCTGGCTGCCGGCGGAGCTCACGGGCGCGTCACTGCAACTCCCCCTGACTTCTGCTCCGCGGCTGCTGAGTGAGCCCTCATCTGGGACTCTCCTTAGCTCTTACTGAGACAGTGGCGCGGCTGCCCCTCTGTTGGTCTTCCTTGGTCTGTTGTGTTCTGGGGGCCTCTGGATGTCTGGAGTTTTGATCTCCTCCATACCTGCTTCATACCCTGGAGGACGGGGCTGTGGCTCCCCCACACTCCCTAGCAGATCGTTACATGGAGAAACCTTTGGAATACAAGCGCGCTGATCCACACAGGTATGCACACGGGTGTACACACGGGTATTCACAGACGCGGACTACAGCTTTCTTGGCTGCTGCCTCAAAGCACATTGTGCGCTGTCTATCTTGCGTGCTGCACAATATCGTTTATTACTTAGTATCTACTGATATCTACTGCTAGCTAGTTTATTGTGATGGTGCCGTTTTTTTTATTATGTTGCTCTTTGTTGTTTGCTTTCTCTTCTGTTTTTTTTCTCCATACAGGTGACCCAGGTGTTTGTTTGTTTTTGTTGTTTTGTTTTTTTTTCTTTCTTCTCCCCCTTCTCACCGTCTCTTCTCCCCTTTGGTTTTCTTTCTCTCCCTCTCTTTCTTTCATTCTTTCTCCCTGTCCTATCCCCCAGTCATGTCTGTCCCGTTTGTAGGAACTGAAAATAAAATAAATTCATAATTATAATAAAGGTCAATCAAATGGACCAATATGGCAAGGCCATGATGATCCACTTGGTAAAATAAATCCGCTTGGCATCTTTCTTGGCCTTCAGACAACAATTCTGATGGCTAAAGATCCAAACGGGACACACAAAAAAAAAAAAAAAAAAAAAAAAAAAGAATACGTATAAGAAAAGAAAAAAGAATCAGTCACGATCCAGGGTCATTTCCGTTATGCCTAGGTTGCCGTTATAGTTCAATGTTTCTTAGATTCTCCTTGTGTCTTCACCCCTGTGTTTAAGTCTCATTCCTGAGTCTCATTATGTTTCCTGTTTTATTTTGAAGAGGTCTGGTGTCCCATATTCATTGTGTTTACTTTCACTTCCCTGTCATTCTAATCAGCTGTTTCCCCATGTGTTCCCACTTCCCCTTCACACCATGTTTCCAGGTCTCATGTATACATGTCCAGGTTTGTTCATATCCATGTCAGGGTTCTTCATGTTGTATTTTAGTTCACCCAGTTTAGTTTAATGTTTAGTTTTGCATCAGTTTGCCTTGGCCTTTGTTTGCACCTTTTTTTTATCAGCCTTATTAAACCTTTTTTTTAAAAAAAAAATTCAAGCTACGTTCCACGTTCCATTGTGTCTGCGTTTGGGTCCATTATTCACGTTCCACACAATCTGCTTCCACACACTGTGACAAAGTCTTTAAAAGCAAATGTCAAGAAACTTTGAAGCAGTGACAAAAAGCATCAACAGTCTGAATAGACTAGATAGATTTGAAGTGTCTGAATCCCCTAAAGCAGGTGTTCAAATACTTCACAGTGTTCAAAGTAAGATTACTGTATAATAACATGTTAGAATAAATACAAAAAAAGTGTTTTTAAAAGTCAAGTTGCAGCTCTGCAAAGAAACCAGGAGCTCATCAGGTGTTTTTCACACTAATATTGTACTAGTTTCAACTACACAGGTGGAAACCTAAAAAAAATCTTATGTGACAACTAGAAAATCTGTTGGAAAAAAGGGGTACATTGATGTTAACATAAATATGTCAGCGATGACTTTTCATACCTACAGTTAATCTATCACTTATTAGTCAGATATGTCAGAAACATTGTTTTGGTTGATATCACTGCGATCAACAGCATTTACAGAAGAGCTCCCACAAAAAACATTGCACTTAGCTGATTACCTAATCAGCAGGTCAAACAGATGGGAGGTGGGGGAGGGGGGGGGGGGGGGCATGTGGCAAAACGGAGGTGAAGAGTTGGAACAAATGAAATGTAAGTACATCACATCTGTGCATGAGATGATGGAGCAATAGAAGCTTTTTGCTTCTGTTTTTAAGTGGGAGAGCTTTTACAGCTAAATGGCCATGCGTGTGCGCGTGTAACAGTGTGGGCGGACGCAGTATGTACATGCACGCACGTTTATGTGCATGTGTGTGAGACTTTTTATTGCGTGTGAGGGACAAACACAGCTGCCACTGAGTCCTGGCATCTGCTGAAAGCAGAGCAAACTCTTTGTTAGACATGTGGTACTTGCGGACACACACGCTGAAGCCACGGGCTGGCATACGTATATGCTTGTTTGTATGCAAACCCAAAGATTAAGCCACGAAGCCCGATGATCAACACTTGCATCAAAGCTTTTGTCAAAGCCTTGTCTTGATGTTGATTGTTTTATGGCAAACTATTGTGTTTCTAAATTGCAGCTGGGCAGCTGAATCGCTCTGCAACAGTAGCTTTCTACAACGTGTGCAATTAGTGCATGTTAAATATTCTCTGTGCTCACAGAGGTGCAGGGTTACAGACCATCTGGGAAACAATCAGCCTTTGAGTGCTCTTACAGTGTGCACAGAGCTGTTTTTGTGACATGTTGTAATTTATTTTTGACATTTCTGTGAGCCACAACTTCTAATTAAAATTACATTTTAAACGGCAATACCACTCAAACCTTTAATCTGCACCATTAATACATTTCCTTACATGGTAAATGGTAAATGGCCTGTATTTGTATAGCGCTTTACTAGTCCCTAAGGACCCCAAAGCGCTTTACACATCCAGTCACCCACGCATTCACACACACATTCACACACTCACATGTGATACATGTGGGTGTGTGAATGAGTGTATACATCTTCCTACTGTTTAATTTTCAGTGATATTTTGTAAATGTCATTTCTTCTGTTGCTTCACTGTATTTGGTAAAGGTTTATTTATTTATTTTATTTCATATTATTTGTTTTACACAATTCCCATTATTTTAACCCACAAAGACCGTCAAAGACACTGAATTGTTTAGTGTTGTTTATCAGCGAATTAATTTGCTCTGCCTCTTTACTTGAACTAGAGTTAAACAAGCAAATCAACTATTTCAAATATTATCTTATAGCAAGCGTAAGACATCATATTCTTCCTCCCTGTGTCAGGATGCTGAGCTGGGCAATCAGCAAGCAGAAATACTAAAAGCAAAATTGCAACTTGCAATACAGTGTGTAGAACGAGACATGTCACATTTGTGTGTAACAGTGCAGCTTTTCTTGACTACTATTACGCCAGACTAGATTGCAGTGCGATTTCGTTCTTTTTTTTGAGCATTTGTCAATTTTTATTTCTCAAGTCAAACACTGTCTCAGGATTTCAAAGACTCTAAGATGAACTGTCATAAAATGTTGTTCAGTCATGATGCTCAGAGGGTGTAGCCAACTGACACTGGTGATCTTTTGGCTTTTTATCTGACAGAAACGATTTTTCTTTAAAGAAAATGAGCCCTGCCCTTGACAGGACTGCAATCCTGTGCAGACAGTATCCTGCCTCACACTCTATGACAGCTGGCATAAGCTCCACCAGACCATAATTCAGACCATAAATATTAACCAGACTTTAAATACTAAGTAGAGTTATTTTTGCGTGACTTTATTTACTGTAAATTTCCATCTCTACATACTGTACTAATGTGACAACTTGTGTACTACTGTATGGCAACACTGTCAGCAATCAACTGTTGCCAGGTAAAGGCAACTTCATAATTTTGAGAAAGATAAAAATAACTATTACTTTATGAATGATCTGAACTGATTCTCTATTTTCATTTACTTTATGAAGAATTTTGATGTGGCTACCAAATAGTCTCAAGGATCTACGGACTATACAGCACTATAGTTGCCAGCTGACTTATGACTTCAGTGTCTTCAGCAACCCTTAATAGACAGCAGTTGAAGAAAGAGGACACGCATTTACTCACAGTGGGACTCGGAGAATTTAGTGTCCTAACCTGAACACTTTAGTTCACTGGATCGCCTGCTGGTGGACATGTGCCATAAACCTTAGCACTGCTTTGGATTCTGAGTGCCTGCTGTGGGCTATTGCCAAATAAGAGTGGCCCATTCTAGAGTAAGGTATTCTACGTATGGACCTTTTCAAGCTTTGTGTGCTAAATATAAAACAGATGACTGATGCTGTCATCAAAGCACAGCTTTGGTTTTTTTTGCACCACATGGATCAAAACAAAAGCACCGTGATGTCGTACGGCTGACTCTGACAGCAGGCGGATGTTCAAATGCCCACAGTGTCAACATATTTCATCATATATCCAACAGCACACACAGACACACATCTACGTCCTCATCATTCATTTTCAAACAACTCACATTTTTTTTTTAAATTCTGTTTCAAGCACATCAAAGTCATTTTTCAGTTACATTTAGTTTAGACATGCTTTCTCAGCAGCCTCTTAGCATCTCCTGAATTCCGACTATTGAAGATCTCTTCCCATTCAGTCTTGTGTGACCTATATAAGTAAAAACAAATGGCATGCCTTGATGTGATTTCGTTTTTCTGCGAGCGACTGACAACTAATCTCCCCACCAGCAATCCCTTTTCTATGGATTCACACAGGCCATAGACGATCTGAAAAGCCCTGTTTCACATTTTAAACAGGGAGAAATACAATTCCCTCATCTTTGGAAAGTCCTCTGCTATTTTAGTGTCCCTGATATAGCTTATAGATTGGATCGTGAATGAGTCTGACCTTTGATGTTTTTCTAGGAGCAATCAAACCACTTTGACTGAGTTTTTTTTTAAAAAAATATACTGTCACCTCTGAGGCCTTTTCATGTCGTATTTTGGCCTCTCTTTTGCAATTGCAGCTTGAGAGCAAAACCTCACATAAGCCATTGGAGTTGGATTCGTCTGTACTGAGACATCTGAGACATACTTTAGTATTCATTACAGTGCAGCTCTGACTTCAGTGGGCAGAATTGGTGAAAGTATATTTAATGAAGGTGACAGAATGACAACGAATGTGTAGTTGATTGGTTTGTATGCATTTGGGAACAGGAATCTGCATGACTAATTATTTAATTTGTGGCTTAAGTCTGGTTTAGGGTTGGGGTTAGGTGTGCAGTAGATATGGCCAAGCCCAAGAGTCTAATTGTTTCTCAGTAGAACGCTGTCACTGTTTTTCTTTTCGCATGTTTATGTAAATGCTGGTGGTTATGACATGGAGTGGAGTTAAAGAGGCTGATACTGGGGAGTGAGGATCTGATTTTATCACATAAGAAGGATCCAGGGGCTGACAATGAGGGGGGAGATAAGACAGAAGGGGGCCAGCAGGGTAGCGCATTTATATTGGGTGCTGGGGGTGGGAGTAGGGGGACTAGGACTAACTGACCTGCTCGGAGAGCTGCTTGCCTCTGAGGAAGAAGCCCAACAGGCAGCCGATGACCACGGCCAGCACAGACAGAATGAGCAGTCCGTTCTGCTTGCAGACATTTTTCACTCGCCCCCAAACTTCTTCCAGGGCCACCGCCATCCTCCTCCTCTTCTCCTGGTTCCCTCTTCAACTTCTCAACCCTCAAAGAAAACCACCGGCAAGCCCCCCACCCTTCCACCTCTTATTTAGCCATATCAAGAAATCAGAGAGCCAACAGCTGCCACAGCACTGGAAAAATATCAGGGTGTGGCCGCAGCAGGTGGGAGGGGAAAAAAGGGAATAAATGTAGAGATTGATAAGTGAAAAAGTATGCTTTTAAGGAAAAAAATAAAAAAAAGTCGAAGATTACGCATAAAGAAAAGTCATTTAGCTAATGGAGGAGGATTCAAAGTAAAATTGAAGAGGTAGTCGTCCAAAAATAAAGCACTTCAGGAGTTTTTCTCCTCTGAGCTTCTTCCTCTGTTACTTCACTTTGAGCATCACACAGATCCTCTCTCCCGATCCCTGTCAATCTGTTTCTGTCTCTTTCTCTGTCAGTCAACCCCTCCACCCTCCTTACCCTTCCCCCACAGGCACATTTCAGCTGGTGACCAACAGGGGGCTCTGCGACAGCTGGTGGTATTGTCATCGGGGTTAATACTACGATCCTATTAGGCTTCACTGCACAACTCAGATCAAAGGCTGGATTAGAGAGCTCTCTGAACAATTGCACAGCAGATTTTCCCAGACCAGGAAAAAGAAAAAGAAAAAAACAATCCAAATACACCTGCATAAGGTAAATAAGGTAAACAAACAGTTTCAGGTAAAAACTATGCCCAACGGTATTGATGAACTGTTGCTCTGTTTTTGCAGAGATGCACTAACAGTGAACATGATGCCAGCTGAATGCGCACTGACAGAAATAAGAACGCGCACAGTTGGGCTGAGTACATAAATATGTACCAGAGCATCATAAATTATGTGGAGCATTATAAATTATGCAAAGTCCAGCATATTACAGGTACACTGATATGAGCTGGAGAAAAATATTTAGAAATATATTTAAAAATATTTATATTTTCTCTCTGAAGATCCGATCAAGTTTATAGACTTGATTAAATATGATTTAAAAAGATTAAATATGGACAGCTGGGCATGTAAAGTTACTCAGTAAGTCTTGCTTGGTACACTATCCAGAATTTGAGACTGATCTCGAGTAACAGTTCACAGTTATAAAACTCAACAGTGCCAAAAAAGACTAAAATAAGGAAAATACTTTGTACATTCCCAACTATCAAACAACCCCGAATAAGCAAGCACTTATCGACAGTGGGAAGGAAAAACGTCGTTTTAACAGGAAGAAGCCTCCAGCAGTCTTAGACTGGAGGAAGCATCTGCCCAAGCGATTGGGGATGAGGACAGGGGAACAGGAAAGAAGAACTTCAGTCATTACTGTTGCTGATTATAGCTTTCCACATAGCACAAACATGATCTATTTATGACCTGTTCTCTTAGTTACTTGAAAAACGATCATAAAATAGCATGAAATAAATTGATACTGGGAAAAATAGCATATACCTTAACTTAACTTTTCCCTTCAGAAACATGAGTCCTAAAAGTGAGTTGAACCATTTGGTGTAAAGATAAGAAAATAGACATCAGCTAGGGGATGTTAGTCAAAGTTAGTCATCATTTTTTGCTGTAATGGGATCATAGCACTCGCTGAAAACGTGGTTATAGTGTTTTGTGAAACACTATGAGTGGATTGAATGGTGGGATTTAAGCAATGAACAATAAAAATCCTAGATTTTGTTTAAAACACCGCAAAAAGAATATATTTAATGGCGTAACTGAGCTAAAATGTTATGAATTTAATGAATTCTGTAATTTCTTGCTAAATAAAAAAGTCTTTATCTGAAGAACATAATATCAGTACGGTAGTATATGTTGCTTTCACGCCATGTATATGTATGCTATAACTGTGGACTGTACCCATACCATGTACACAGTGGTTCCCATACAATAAAAGATGGAATTAGCCACCCTAACATCAGTCACCGGTTTCTGGATTTTTTTCAAAACCACCATTTCAGCTTTATGTGCATTGCCATCTTGAGCTTTCTGAGCCCAATGTGACCATATTTAGACCAGTTTGTAGGATGCTAAGCAAACAGCTAACAGTGTCAGGCTTACATCCTAAAATGTGTGGATACAATACATAAGAACCAAAGGGCAACAGTGAAAGCTAAAATAATGAAGCCAGTGTGGAGGCTGCAGAAACAGCATTTCATGTAGGTGTCACACATGAGGCTGGTTACAAAAAGGAGTTAATTCTCACTGACTCTCATGTTGAAATGCCCGATTTGACAGCGTTAAATTACATTCACACCCTGATACAAAATGCAGTTTTGACTTCTATGGATATTTTTCCTTTTCATTGGTTGTTCTCAGGCTACAGTTTATATTTTTCAGCTGTGAAATTTTCTGTATTTTTGTAATTGCAGCTAGGACTTTTATGCATTTTGAACAATGTGTTTATTTGAGCTTTTATTTTAGTTTTTATCACTATCTTTGATTTCTTGAGTTTTTTTAGTTGATTCCTGCCACTTCTGTGTTCTTTTGTGTCTTGTTTCAAGTCTCCGTTTTTGTTTTAGGTATTACTCAATTCCAGTGTTGTTATTTGAGTCCTTTTGTCTCTTGTACTTGGCTTTTAGTTTTATTTCCTATGTAATTGTCTTGATTAATTTCAGTTCTGTCTTGTTACCCTCCTGTCTCCATTTCCCTTGATTACCTCAGTAACTATGTTGTTTGCCTTTCAGTGATGTGTTTGAGTCTGTATCTTATAGACCGCAATTTGTCAATCAAAGCAGCCACTACAGTACCATAAGACACCTGTGGTGGCATTGTGTGGTTTGGGGCTCAGCCGCAAGTGAGAGGTGGTGCAGTGGGTTCACGGAGTAGTGTCAGGGGCAGCTAGCTGGCATAGTTGGCAGCCATCATTAACTAGGTCTCTCCTAGATTTACTCAGTAACATGCTGGGATGTAGGTGTGTGTGTGTGCACAGAGAAGGAAGACGTGGCCGGCGACTGAAGTGTGAGAGCTGTCCAACAAGCACTACAGTAACATTGTACAGCCAGAGAAAGAATTAAAATATTTGATTGGTCAGACAACAGGCAGTTTTCCTTGTGTAGCTCAGTCCAGGTTAATGAGCTTGGGCCCACCCAAGGCAAATTGTATACGCAATGCCTTTTCAGGAGAACATCAAGACCATTCAACATTTGTCAACAGTTTGCAAACAGAGATTCTCTGACATCTCTGAATCTTTTTATGTTGCGTGGATAGCGTTACCTTATTAAGGCAACATTATTATCATCATCCTCATTATTATTATTATTATTATTATTATTATTATTATTAGGTGCATGTTGCAGTGATGATTATAGTAAGATTTTTAACAGGGATTCCCAGTCAACTGTCCTCTCAACATCACATCTCCACATGTGCACTAAAAAGCACATGGACATACAGACACCTACACACACACACAAAAAACCTACACCTACACACACACACGCACGCACACACACACACACACACACACACACACACGCACGCACACACACACACACACACACACACACCATCAATCATCTCCTGCCTACTGACACTGCTGTGCTGTGTCTCTTACTCGATGGAAAATTATATGAAGCTGCTGAAGCTGGAAGTCAGAGGCTCAATTAAATGGTGTGACTGAATCCAGTGAGGTCTGTTATCAAAGAGGGTCGATTATCATTATCATATGCATTAGTGTATCATTAATAGGAAGATGGTTGGTCAGTGTCAGTTTGAGATAATGAATCTACAATTCACTGTCAGACTGTACTGAGGGGGAAGTTTTTTCATTGCCGCAGTACTGAAGATAAAAATCTGCTTGTATCGCTCTTTTAAAACCACCATTCCAAAAGAGTTGGGGTGTTGTGCAAAATGTAAATAAAAACATATTATAGTATGTAGCGTATACAATGGAATATTCAAAGGCTTTGCAAATTTAAATCGAGGAGTATTATTCTGAAATTCATCTGTTGTTGTTTTTTTTGCAGATTAATAAGCCGCTGCCCATTTTTACGTCTGAGAAACTCTTTGAACTTTACTCATTTTATTCATGACATTGTCAAAAGTCTCAGCTTAAAGATTTGATGCTTTCTGATGTTTATTCTGAATAAAATATGGGTTTATTGGATTTGCATCATGCAAGATAGCCTGGGACTAAATTCAGAGGTGTCAGAAATTTCAGATGGCCGTCTCACAGTGTTGCTTACTCTCGCAATGTGAGAGAAGGTAATATATTTAAAATGAAACTTTTGAATTCTGGCAAACAAGAAAATCAATACCAAGCCTTGTTTGTGTGCTGTCTCCTCCAGCTTTTTTCATGACTTTAACAAGGCAGGTATAGAGTGGAAAGCAATAGCTGCAATACGTCATAGCCTGTGATTTTCGTGGGTATTAACATGACCACAGTTACTAGATTCATGTAGCAGAAAATCTGCCTTCCAATAAACTATGAAATTTCACAGTGTTCAGGAATCTGTAGGGATGTAGAGACCTGCAAACATTTTCACTGATTTCTCCATGTCTAGGTCTCAGAGCTCACCCATACTTCTGACATAAGCCCGTGCATCTCCACCTCATGTCTCTGTCACAACGATTACAGTCCTGCGCAACGGATATGCTTCATTTCAGTTCCACGAACAATGCCCCATGTGTTGCACATGTGGAAAACCAGACGCTCTCTCATTACGTTAACGCAACAACCTTTTAAATGATGGGTGATATTACTCTAATTGTAATCCCAGAAGCCACATCTGCTGTGGGTTTGCGGTGTAATCTGTGGCTGAGCTCTGCGATGTGCTGCTGTCTGCGGCCAAATACAGTGGGGCAAAAAAGTATTTAGTCAGCCACCGATTGTGCAAGTTCCCCACCTAAAATGATGACAGAGGTCAGTAATTTGCACCAGAGGTACACTTCAACTGTGAGAGACAGAATGTGAAAAAAAAAAATCCATGAATCCACATGGTAGGATTTGTAAAGAATTTATTGGTAAATCAGGGTGGAAAATAAGTATTTGGTCATCTCAAACATGGAAAATCTCTGGCTCTCACAGACCTGTAACGTCTTCTGTAAGAAGCTTTTCTGTCCCCCACTCGTTACCTGTATGAATGGCACCTGTTTGAACTCATCATCTGTATAAAAGACACCTGTCCACAGCCTCAAACAGTCAGACTCCAAACTCCACCATGGCCAAGACCAAAGAGCTTTCGAAGGACACCAGGAAAAGTATTGTAGACCTGCACCAGACTGGGAAGAGTGAATCTACAATACGCAAGCAGCTTGGTGTGAAAAAATCAACTGTGGGAGCAATCATCAGAAAATGGAAGACATACAAGACCACTGATAATCTCCCACAATCTGGGGCTTCACGCAAGATCTCATCCCGTGGGGTCAAAATGATCATGA